ATTATTACAGAAGTCTTGTGGTTTGTTCACATGTAACTATACTCTTTTTGGAGAGAAAAGGCTTTCTGCTAACAACTCTAACAGTAGTCTCAGGAAATGTAATATTTAACATTCTAACTGAGGCCTGTAGAGTCTGAGATGGAGCTGTCTCTCTTTCACTCTCTAGCTCTCTTTTTTTTCCTGCACAGTCTGACCTTGGGGTGAATTTCCTGGGACATCCAGTTCTGGGAAGATTGTGGCACTGTGTAAACACACCTGAATGATCCAACCTGCCCAGACTTCTGCTTTTATAAAGGTGCTCACAACTGCAGACAATGAATTAATCACATGTATTTGATTAGCAGATCTGGCTGCTGCAAACCTCTTTATTTAGCCCTGCCCATAAAAATTAAGTCTTGTGAAGCTTTTTTCACATTACCTTCAGTGACTTACTTAAAAAAAAAAAAAATCCTTTTTATAATAAAAGGAGTAAATTGAGCATGTCTGTATGTTCGTTGCTATTTTTATCCATTTCTGTAACATGGTAAAAACATTCCAGAGTGCTCAGCCTTTGGGAAAGAGTCTTTTACAGGCCAGACCAATTAACTTGATAGCATAAATGAGGGCCACTGACAAGAAGCCTCATAAAACTGGTAACATATACTGTACGTTTGTGGGGAAACTATTTTTGTCCTGCACACACAAACACACACCCATATTGAAAGTCCAGGTCTGGGTGGTGCCCCCTGCAATGCAAGACCATAATGAAAAGCTACTGCCTCCTCTGGCTTCATTTATCCTCTTGCCAGTTCTAACAGAGGCTGAGATGTCAAACAAAATCATACTGAGCAGAGCACACACTCAAACAAACTCGCAGTTATCCCACAAACACATACAAGGGTGCTGACACTTGTTTCTGTGAAGGGTCCAATGATGTGATTCAAGTGGAAAGCTGAGCTAAATGTTACTGTAAACACTTGTTTAGAGGCTCGCATTTTTTTAAAACTTCCTGTCTTGCTGGGAGTTGTACTGCTGTAAAAGTTCTCTAACTCGAATCCCCTTTAACTCACTGACACTTTGATTATATTTCATAAAAAGACAGATAGGGAGCACACTGCTCTCAGACAGCCATTGCTTATGTGTGACAGCTGCTGACAGTATCGCTTTGAAAGCTTCTTTTTGTATGTGGTGACAAATTGAAAAGACATATATTTGTTTATTTCCTTGCTTTGTCCACAGCTGTAAGATTTGCAGGATATGCAATAGATAGTGGTTTTTTTTTTTTTTACAGTTTTCTTAGTATAGAGTACCGTCTGTTGAATCATAAATGGACTACTGCTTGGTACAAGCTGGTGAAATTTTGTCTCAAGAAGCAAACAGCGCACAGTGCAATGTACACTTTTTACATTTGTTGGACCTCTACTGTAAAAGTATCGCAGGTAGAGGCTACTATTTCTCAGTGTAATCCCATGCTGAGACGTACACATACATGTATTAGAAACAAAACACTACATGAAAACACTTTTTTCACACACTCCTTTGGTACACTGATGAGCTTTAACCGCAGCAGGATGGAGTGAAATACAGTGTAAAATTACAGTGAAACCCAGATATCATCCAGCCACCGATGTCTCTCAGTTACATGGTGTTAACAGTGAACATTGGAGCTTTATGGCACAGAGGTATAAGCTATTACAGGCTTTGGCTTCACAGACAGTACTTGGATGAACTAGAAACAGAATGAGGCCAGACGAGGCAGCATGTAAATACGATATCATTTCTGCGTAATGGCATGCTCAAACCAAGTAAGTGTTTGTGGGCCTTTTTGCAACCCATATATTCTTCACTAACAACCGATGGGAAAACCGTATCTTTCCAAAGTGCAATCAAAAACTAAAAATCAATTAACACTAACAACATAAAGTCTTCTCCAGCACTCAAAGATTCTCAGTGGGGACACGGTTTGGACTCTGTGGTGGCCAGTACACGTGCTCCCTTAACTGCTCTTTCACAATCTGAGCCCAGTGAATCCTGGCATTATGGTGTTGGAATATAGCCATCAGGGAGGAAAAAGAATCCATTGACAGAAAAACTATTCAGTTTATTCAGGTAGTCAGCTGACTTCATTTTTTGGGCACTTACTCTTGCAGAAAGTAAACCTGCAGCAACTCCAGATTATAACACTGCCCCTACAGGCTTGTACAGTAGATACGAGGCATGATGGCTGCATCAGTCCATCCACCTTTCTTCTTACCTGATACGCCCACCACTCTGAAACAGGGGAACTGTGGAGTCATCACATCACATGACCAGATTATCCTTCCATTGCAAAATCCAATCTGTCTGCTCTTTTCTTTCCCAGATTACCTCACTGATAAGGCTACATAGGCTACACTCATCTTCACATTGCAAGTATGTAAATAGTCTCACTTTTATTGTTATAACATAGCTCTGAGTTCTGCTATAGATTTTGTATGATTTGTTTCCAGCATACTTAAGTGCTATCCAATCAAATGTTATTTTAGAATCACATTTCTTCCTCAGAAATGACGGCTGACCACCATCCACTGATCCGGGTCTTAGTAACGCATTAGGCAGTTCTTCACCTAATTTTAGCAGCTTCAGCATTCTTCTTAGTTGCTCTGTTTGCTTGATGTAGGCAGAGAATTTGGTGAAATGGCATCTTTTCCATGAACACTGGATGTCTCTTCCAATGTGGTTGTTTAGAAAAAAATGAAAAGCTACTCACTGCATCAGCTAAGATTAAATAACCAGTTACCAGCCAAAACATATTAATCACTGCAGTAATTGCTTATTTAAATCCACGCAGTGACTTTCATTTGCAGTATATTTTACCAGCAGATCCCACAGTTTTGCTTAGTTTTTTAACCTCATGCTCCTTTTAATTGTCATATAAAGCTGAATTTAAATTGTGCCATTTCTGTTTCCTCCAAACTACGAAATAAAGCTTGTGCCCCATTTCAAATTGCATCCACTGTGTATAGGAGAGTCTCACATGAAAGCATATTCATATGGCCCAGTGAATTAGTGTTAACGATAACCTCGCTGAACACTGCAGAAAATAAACATCTAAGGACTAAAAATACTGGATGGGCAATCACATTCAAGGAGGGTTAAATTAAATTTAACAGTCCCCGACTCTCAAATAATTTCTGAACCTGCTATGCATTAGCTAGACAATGCACACAGGTGTGTGGAGCAAGTGCATACCTAATCTTTTCTTTGGCACCACTATGCAAAAAAATGTTGTGCATGAATCTGTATGCATCTCTAGTTTCACAGATGAGTGCCAGCTGCACTGCAAACCCTGAAGCATTCTGCAGGCGAAACCCAACAGCCCTTTACCATATCAAATCCCCGTCTGGCTGTCTGGATCCCCTCTCCAGCACAAACTGTCCAGTGTTTATGAAAAGCCACTGGCCGCGTAAACACACAATTTCCTCTTGTTACTGCAGCTGAAGAGGCCCTAAGGTAATTTAGAAGGAGTCAGTCATAGGAAAAATTGTTTTGTTGTTAGTATAGATTCATAGCACATTGATCCGAGTGTCTTTTACAAGCGCGACTACTTATTGAGGGAAACAATTGACCTTTCCGGGGTCACTTCTGTTGTCAAGGAAGCAAATCAATGCCACAATCTGGTTTCTTTATGAATCTGGACGAAGCAAACGCAATTAGCCCCGTGAGTCAACAGCACTGGAACTAATCCAACTGCTTTATTCTATTATAGTGACGCATGTTTTTCAACAATATTTCAAGCCGGCTGATCAATCTTCTCCAGTCCTGTCACCGTGGAAGTGGAGGCCAGCGATGGGGGGCGGGAGTTGAGCTGAAAACATGAAGGATTTCAGAGGGAATTCGCTGGACAGACTTGAGGACAGAAAAACGAGTGAAGTCAGATGTCCTCCTGTGACCTGATCCGATTTTCCATTACTGTCTCCTTTAATCACAGTAAGCGACGGGAAGTGATGAAAGAGTGGTGGATGGTGGGGGTGATGAAGAGATGAAGGGATTTGGGGAAGAAAGGGTTGGGAGTCGTGGCACGATTGGGGCTGTGTGTGAAATGCAATGAACCTTCAGAACGAGCCTCGGGCTGTTTCCCCCATTTTAAAGTTATTTCACACCAAATCCTGTTGACTCGCCTCGTCGGGGAAAAGCATACAAATACACTTGGGCTATGTGAGATTCACGTGCATTATTCTAACCAACATAAACTCTGATTACAGAGCGGATTCTCGGGTAGTTTCAACAACAGATGCTATCCTCTGAAAAATAATAACATAAAGACACAGATAAAGATAAATTGTATTACATACTGCTTCTGTGTTCTATTCCAGCTAGTCCTTCCTAATTCTAGTGTCTGGTACGCACCTCAAATACTTCTGTTATTCCTCTGACGAGATGAATGACATGAGGAGAAAGAAAAAAACACAGCAGATATCGACGGATACGAACGCTTCCGTGGCAAATATTCACTGCCAACACTGCCTATGTGTGTCTGCAAGAGCATATCCTTTTTCAACAGGACTGAGCCACGTGCTTGGGAAACCGCTACCTCTGCATAGCTTGCATGCAAGAAATCCACTTTGTTTCATTTCATTTCATCCTGAGCTCTCAGTGGCTTTGTTTCGCTTCTGGGATATGAGTCCGAAGGGCTTTTAATAAGCTCATTCCCAAACATAATCAGATGAGATGAGGCTGTTTTCGGTGATGAAGGATGGTCTGAGAGTTCAGTCGAAGCTGGAGAGGCTCAGCTTCTCTCCACTGCACTCTCCTTAGTAACTAAAGCAACCTCGCGTGCTGCTGCTTCACACTAATTTCTAATCTGTGAATTAATTTAGCTCGTGTTGCCGCTTTGACTTGTAACCACACTAGGATGTTTTAATCCTTGTAGTGACATTCAGAATAAATGGGTCATTTGTGATATTCCCGTATGGTTTGATATCCAGTTCGGACCTTTGGTTTTAAACCAGGAAGCGGACAATACAGGCTGATAAAGGTACCTTGTACTGCGAGTTGGGCCTGGGCTTCAATGGTGGTGTTGGAATTGTCTGCAACACAGGTGTAGATCCCAGCGTCTGCCTCCGTGAGGTTGGAAATTTGTAGACTGCCCCCTCCCAGCACCTCCACCCGACCATCACTGAGGAGAGAAAGTAGGAAGGTTGTGGAAAAGGAAAAAAGAAAATTAGCTCCACCTAAACATGTAAGCAGTATTTTCTTTTATCATAGCCATACATTAATGACCTTTACTTGGGCCCTTGCTACATGTAACACAGTCGGCGTCACACTCGGGAGCCATCAGGCTGCTGACCCTCTAAACAGCACGTGGACACAGCTGAACATCAGCAGCGACATCTTTTTTTAAAACAGACTTGTAAAATATGTAGAAAGTCATGGCAGCCCATTTACATGAAATGTATTCTCCTCTCGCTCAGACCGCTGAACGGTAATGGATGCATCCTCCGGAGCCCCGAGCTCCTCTGCTGACCTGGGTTTGACTCCACATCTCATCCTCGTTTCTTTTTGCTCTGTCACCTCATACCAACTCTCTGAATAAATAAAAGATGCTAAAAGCAGAGTCAACCGCCCCAAGAAAGAAAAGCAATTTGCATTTCTTCCCAGTAGTTTACTGGATTTGGAAACCTGGAAATATAACTAGAGTGGGATAGAAACAGGATTCTCGATGTAAAAATACTAGGATGGAAAAAAGACTGCTGTATTCACCATAATCTCCTGCCAAAAAAAAAGAAAGAAAAAAAAATCACTGATAAACCAGCTTGAACAAATGTCACTGATATACACAGTCCTCTGTACAGCTGAAACCAGCACCAAAAAGTGACTAAAAGCTACAAATTGCAGGCACACCTTTGAGTCAAAGCACGGGGCAAAGTTGTAGCGCAAATGATCAGAAAGCAGGAGGATCAGCAATTAAACTCCAAGTTGAGTTTTCAGCAATTCTCCCGTCTCCGATTCTTCGCTCAGCAACCTAACAGCATAATTGCGCCTGTGTGAGCAAGTCAGTCTAACTTAGCAGGCTTGCTGTGGGAAGCGAGCCTCTCCTGGTGTGACAGCGAAGAAAAGCTGAAAGCCATAAAGTGCGTAGATAAGCTGAGCCTGCAGAGTAGTAGTACTAAAGGCGCAATAAACAATAAGTGTGACTGTAATAATGTGTTTGTAATATTATCATATGTTATTGTCCTATAATATATAGGGTTTTTTCAGTTTTAATTATTATGGAGATTGTCAATAGCAGTATATCAGGACACCCCTGGCCTCTAGCAATGCCTTGAGATTAGTCCAGCTTTTACCAGAGCAGCTGGGATTTACAGTTTGCACAGCCACGCTACTGCAGCCCTTTCTCCACCTTAACAAACGTTTTCCTTTTCTTTCATTAGCCGTTAATTAACTGGAGTGCTGTGAAGCGGGCCCGACTAGCAGACTGAAAACCTGTTTCATTCAGCTGCTTATTATCCTAAAGAATCTATGCCTAACCCAAAGATCCAAACACACAAGTATTTGTACAGCCTCGTTTTGAACCAGTGACCCCTCTCCGTTTTAAACAGTCCCAACTTTGATTTCCCCAACAAGCCCACGGGGGATGCAGTCTGTGGCCAAGCTCCGGCTTGATTCAACAAGCACTGGAGCATGAGAGGAGGAGGATGCTGAGAGGAAAGAAAAACGGTAATCAATAGCTCGCAGAGAGAACTCTGCATTCAGACAGCGAGAGAGAGAGAGAGAAAATGGGATGCAGGGAGAAAAGCGGGATCAGCGGGTCGGCAGAAGAAGATAAAAATCCAAAAGACAGCCACAGCAAGCGAGATGCAACTGAGGAACACTAGATCAGCGCATAATGGTTTCTGCACAGTGGATATCTGCAGAAAAGAGGAGGATATTGAAGAAAACAACTATATGCTGAAAGCTGGTTTTGTTTTAAACCAACTGCTGAGTGGCAAAGATACTCCACGTAAGCTCCCGCACCTCCTTTCTCGACTGCACCTGGGTTCAGCAGTGCTGGTCGTTGAGGCCATCTGTCTGTGCTGGAGAGAAGCATTCAAGTGGCACTCAACCTGCTGTCACCAAAAAGACTTTGCCGTTTCATTTCTACTTCATCAAGCCTCATCCAGAGAAAAAAAAATAGTTTGATCTCATCATTTTGTAGCTGACAGCTGGTCGAGAAAATGGACTTTCCAAGCTCATGTGTAAATCAGTGTTATCCTTTACTTCCAATGGAATTCCTCAAAGGTTCTTAAACCCTAAAGCATTTCAGTGAGTTTAACTTGCATCTACCCACTTGGCCTGTCATTGCTACAAATCTCTGAATTCGACAAATAGCCTCTACATTTACTCCTCTGTAGATT